TCAACAAGGCCTTCAAATGTTCTGAAATAGGGAAATCTCAGCCCTTCTCAAACTCAGCTTAAGGGCTGTGGCGACTACCATGTGTAAAGTCCGCTAATCTTATTTAGCAAAGTCTTTGGCTGGCTACCCTCTTAGTGTTAAGAAAATCTGTTGCTTTACCCTGTGTACAGGGACTTAAGCATTTACGAGTAGAGAACAAGGGATTTGCTCTCTGGACAATGTCTTAGCCCTAATTGAGTTACACAGAGTATCCACAAGACATGCCCTTGGCCTGTAGTATCAAATAATGATATATACTAGCGATAGAACTAAAGACTTTTTCAGCACTTAATATATGATTAGTAAGTTTAGAGCAAAATTACTAAACTTTTTCATGTATTAAGAATTTTTGTTAAGACAGTTCATTTACAAATTCTTTTTTTTTATTAAAATGTTATCATATTTAACCTATTCACTATCTATTTTAGAGAAAGTAGTCTGACTAAACCTACACTGCTTGAAGAATAATTTAATGTATTTATCTTAAGAAACAATATCAGAGAGCCAGTCCAAGCCTCACTCATATCAGATCCCTATTGAGGTTTGAAGGGGAAAAGAGTTATGAAAAGGAATCCATCATAAATTCAACTTGAAGACAAGGCATTTTTATTCATGGAATGATGGTCAGTTTGAAGTGCCTGCAGTGGGCAACACTTAAAACACTCTTACTCAAGCAAGACTTAATACACTCCTGCAAAGTGTACATTAATCAGGATGAATAAGCATAGGTATTGCATAAGCAAAGAAAATGATCTGCAAACCTAAAAGAGTGATACAGCTTGAAATATTAGTTCAAACCCAGTGGGACCCAATGGTTCACATTATAACATAATTTCAAACATATATGTTAAAAATTGTTTGAGGTGTTGTTAGAAGGTATTGATTGTTAAAAAAAAGTACAACTGAATACAATTTTAAACTTGGTTTTGGATATCTGATAATGATCTGATGATGTGTCATTGACACTACAAGGAAAGTTTTACTGGGTTGTTGGGTATTGGAAGTCAGGTTTGGTTCGGGTTCAGCCAGATTTATGTCAGGCAAGTTCAGTTGAATTCACATGTGAGATGTTCAGACAACATTTTGTTGGGTGATAGTCGGGTTGAGGGAAAACTTCATAGGTCTACAGTTGGGTTTGGACATAATTTTGTCAGCCTCTAGTTAGGGTCAGCCAGAATCTTAAAGCTCTTGAGGATTCAGATGCTATTAAAAATGCAACAATTCTTTCTACTTTATCATGTCCTTGTATGCTAGTCCTTTCTGAAGAATCAAGTCTTGCCTCCAGAAGCTTTTGTGTTGCCTCAGACCCCTTTGGGTTATAAAACTATTTTCTCCATGCATGGCTGAGATGCAGTGTAATGCAGTGATGAGACATGGAGACCTACTTTTGATTTCCCCATGCTGTTGGACTCCCAGACACTTCCTGACTGACCTGTCCAGCAGCCTGCCCACATGCCTAACCAGGCCTGCCGGCACACACACTATCACTCAGGTTATCTGTCACTCTCACAGCCCCCCTTACACAGCCTAGAACCCTAGCACCACTCAGATTAACAAATACTCTTCCTCTTGGATTAAGATTAGCAAAGGGCCAATCCCAGTGGAAACACAAAGGGATTACACTTGACACGTTGTCTTAAAAAAGGAACTAATTGTGGAATTGGCTAAATGTGCAATCCAGTTTGTTCACAGTAGGGTTTGTGTAAATATTATGACTGCGACAGTCCATAGACAAGCATGACAAATACATTCCTCTAAAAACTAGCAATAGGTTGGTCTCTCGCAAACATGAAATACTCCAGCCCTCAGGCTAAAGATGTGTTCTATATGTCCCTTAATGTGTAAAGCATTCAAGGTTTTTTTTTAATGACAGGATTATTTGGGACATTTGGACTCATCCAAATTTCATCAAGACGGCTTTCCGTAAATTCTTTAAACAGTCTTTACATGCTTATCTCCTTACCTGTTCCACACTGCCTTCTGTCTTTACCTATTTAAACTGACTTTGAATGTGCTCAGCTCGAGTGCTACCTGTTCTGGATCCTTCCACCTGACCAGCTGGCCTATAATCTCTGCAGATCAGTGCACTTGGCCTATTAGAGATTGCTGCACTAAAGTGGCTTAGAGGAGTGTGCACGTCTCTAAGTCACTAACTCCATTACCAGCCTTCAGAATAGCCAGTCTGCCTTTGCTAAGAACAACATGGGACTGTGGCTTCATAGCAAAAGGAACAGCACAATCCAATAAAGCAGAAAGCCACAAGGGACAATGCATTATTGATTTTACCACAATTAAAGGGTATTTGTTGGGCACAACACAAAGTAGTGTAAAATCACTGTTATGCATGATCATAAACAGCTTTTGTGCTTTAATAAATTGACAATTTATAAAAGGATGTAATACCCTGAAGATGATCATATTTACAAAGTGATTGGTTCTTTGTGCAGTCTTGAGCAGCTTGTCTCAGAATATCAAAGCTAGAAAGTTTTTGTTCATTTGCTAGTTTGTTTCAAAGGAGTTTTATGTTTTAACATGATGTTATTCTTATCCTAATTACATGTTTGAATGGATTTTACATTTTGCTATTGCAATCATGATGGTATTTTGTGTTTTAGTTTACTATTTCATTCAGATATATACCAAAAACATGTTTGTTTACTGCTGCCTTTGTACTCTTGATGAGTGGCATAAGTGTGTGTAACTGATGTAATGTGATGTTCAGTTCATGATGTGATAGAAAAACAGTACTAAACTGCTATGAAAAATAACATGATTGCTCTGTTAACTACTTAACAGTGTGCATGAACGCTCTCGCAATTGCTACCAGAAGCTAGCTACATATTTATTGTGTTTGGCCTGTATCTTTACATGGTGTAGTACATAATATAGCCAAGCCGAGGGTCCTCAGACAGCTGTGTTTGCACACTAGAGCACATATGAGCTGTAGATCAGAAATACAGGAGTATTTTCAAGTAATCAAATGCATTTAGAGATACAGTATTGTAATTGTATAATACAGTACTGTAAATAAGCAGTAAATTCTAGGAGACATTAATGCCAGTAAAATACTGTAATTTTACATTTTTACAAATTGTACAAAACATTTTTAAATGGTTCAATAAATAATGTTTTATTAATAACAAATAATTTATTATAAGTGATAATCAGAAAAATAAATTCTTCTGCTGAACTGTCCAAATGTTGGCCCTATCATTGGGAGATTGATCTTCTGCGCTGGCACAGCCAAGAGAATATCATTCTCTGGGTGAGTATGGTGATCATCCCTCTTCCCTAAATCACTCAGCATGACGCAAGTCAATGCAGGTTTCTGCGGACATAACCAAATTGGCAGTTAGTATTCTCCTCCAAGCGTGTTGAGCTAGTAAGTGGTAGTTCAAAAAGATGTGGTGGTGCAGTGGCACTTGGTGAAAGCACACACTAGCCCTCACCCTCCCAGCAGGTGAGATGGAGGTAAGTATTTTACAGTGGGTTTGAAAGTGGCTTAGATAATCAGATTGTAGAACTGAAACTACAGAACTGGTTTATAAAACTCTATTATGAAATACAAGGTTTGCTGGGGACATAAAGGCCCCCAAATGAACTGCAGTTACAGCACGTTATTCCTAATCCCTATTTGCCCAACACTCTGTTTTTTTGGCTTCCTCGGCTTGCCGTAGGCCCAAACCTGGAGTAGAGTGCGTTTGCGTTGCGAATTGCCATGTGTCTACTCTCTGCTTTTCTCAACCTTCAAACAACAGCGGCTTTGCACACAACAGCCTGCGGGTATCTACGCAAACGACAATTCCCCAGCTGGGAGCACAGCAATTACAGCATGATTCTACTATCCCCCTCCAAACACACATACATACACACACGCACACACACTCCACAACCCCCCCAATTGCTGAGAAGGTGCTTCCTGAGCAGTTCCTGGCTGCCAGCCTGCTACCAGAATGGAACTTCTTTTATTACCTGCTAAGAGGTAAATGAGGGTGATTTGTGAAGAGTTAAGTAAAGGTTGGCCTTTAAACGAAGGGGATCGTTTTTTTTCAAGATGAAATCTTGATCTCCAGTGTGATAACAAGCAAAAAGGCTTCTCAGCAAGTCATCAGAGTATCTGATTCTTTCTTCAGGCCTAAAGCAAGCAATCATTTAGACTTGTAGGATCATAATTGCTAAAGTAACAAGTGGACATGTATTCACTTGATAGGTTGCAAGAAATGTAATGAATATGCCTGATAAAAGTGCATCTAGCACAAGTGGTTTCAAGCCTCTAAATTAGCGCTGATATTAATATGGACAAAAACATAGACAAAAATCAGGCTACAAGGCTTTTGACTCCAAAGCCCGGACGGTATTTTACTTGGAACAACAACCAAAAATGTAATCTTCCTTCCTGTTTTTTTATTCCATGTAGTCCACAAAGTTATTTTTATGTCTATTATTTTACAGCCCTGTGGACCAATTTATGGATTCACAAACAATAAAATTCCACAGTGCTAAATGGTAGCTTCAGTCATTTGTTAGCAACATTAGCCTCGCAGCTCCAGGGCAGAACTAAAGAAACAAGCTTCGGACACCAGACATGCTTTGGCAGATCAACTTCATTTGAGATGGGGAGGGAAATCTTGTAAATGCATTTCTTTTTCAAAACTACTGAAAATACACTGGTTCTATCAGCTACAGATATAAATATAAGAGGCAGTTCAGCAGGGTTAGCGGTAATGCAGCAGCCACAGCGTTGTACCACTGCTCATTATCTGGTTGACTTAATAGAACATATGGAGGGACCCTGCTGTAGTCAGATACAAAACCTCAGAGGAGCTAATTCTCTGCTGCGGAATAATGAACTTTATGTAATGAACTCAAAAGCTACAGCGCAGGGCAGCAATCTGTTCTCAGCTCAGCTGAGTATCTTGTCAGTTTATGGCATAAAAAGAAATGCACTGTAAAGACAAAGATATTTCGAAAAAAAAATAGATTTATTTTGTCACTGCAGAGGAATACCATAGCGTTCAGTGTCATGTCCCCCTGACAGAATATTTTTTTTAAGTTGAATAGCAATATAGCATGTATTCCATGTGTCAGCTTATCCTGAAAAACCATAAGAAGCATTCTGAGTCAAAAAAGAAACAAAAGCCACATTTGAATATCCTTATAGGGTTGAATAAAACTCAACCGTATGCAAGTGTGTGAAAAATATCCAAAGAAACCGATTTTCCCTTTTAACAATGCCTGAAAATATAACTTATGTCCAACATAGACTGAACAAATCCCTTTGATATTGCAGCAGTGTCCATTAAAGCTGCACACTGAAATGACAGTGTGTCAATGAAACAAGGTCAATGTTTCTTTAATGTGACTTTCTTCTTCTCCATGAGAACTGATGCCATGCACACACATTACCAAAACAAGAGCAGATCTGTGTATTCCTCAGCTTAATGAGCTTTTTTTATTATATTTATTTATTTATCTATTTCCCTGGTTCCATATTTGAGGTCATTCAGATGGTTTTGCTTTGTTTGTGCAAATGCTCTGCCAGAGAATTCAGGAGTGTTCATCCTCCCTTTCCTGTTCTTCATCAAAATACCAAGGACACGGCATTATAACCTCGCCTCCCAAGTATGAATGCGCAATTATAGCATGGAGAGGTTTGTTATCTGAATTTTCTGGTCAAAGGGCTTTAACATGTTGGCAGCATTAGATCTGGCTTGAACTATGAACAGTTCCCTTGCTTCTGGAAGCAATGTTTCCTCATAGAGCAATTTAGAGATGGAAAAATGAGGAAAAAAGTTTGAAAGCCAATAGTTCTACCATAAGAGCATTAAGCATTCTTGTAATACAAGTGAAATCACTGTGAAATCCTTCAAGGTTTCAATCAATATCATGATGTACACTGATTTTACAGCTCAGGTCAGACCAGAGTCATCCCATCTTTCCACCATAATTGACATTACGCAGCAATTAGCGTATTGATCTACCTGAACTAGTGGTGGATCAGCTGGGGCCCTGTATTGACCCATCATAAAAGACCCATTCAGCTTCTGAGATTAATCCAATGATGAGAAAAGATTACAGCACAATGGTCTCCTAGAGTAATTAGATTAAGTGTGGGTGGCATTACTCCTCTGAGATTTAAGCATTTGAATGGTACAGATTCTGAAAGAGCTGCTAGCTGGATGGATGGAACCATATTATCATTTGCTCTGAGCAAGACTGTCTCACTATTTACCCGTAACTAACGTCATTGTGCTTTTGTTCTCCTTTTTTGGGATATTTCACCTCATTTGAATTCCTCCCGGTTATTCATTACAATGTTTTCCCATTTGGTAATACAAATACTCAAGCCTATTAAATAAGCTCACCTATTTACATAAAAACCGGAATGTAAAAAGTTGTGGCTTACAATATGTACAACAAATGGACAGGCATCAGAGTGAATTAACTACAATAAATTATCATAAAATAGACTTCTGTACTTTTTTTACACAAATAAAATCTTTTAAAAAAAAGTGTGTTTGTCAATCCCAGCCAAAATCCTGCCCGGTCATGTAGTAAAACTTTTTGTTGAATGGCTTGTAGAAGTCTCGCAGTTGTTGGACCACATCTGGGTGGATATTTGGATGGGTGCGCCCTTTGGTTTTGCCCAGGCAGTGGGGCTTACTGTTGCTTTCGGGCTTTTTTAAGCAGGGGAAGCCCTTGGCTGGGTTAAAGTGGAAATATTTCTCAGTGACCACCCTCCTCAGGCCCAGAAAGTCCTGGACGCGAACCATTTCGCCTGCCGGGTCACTGATTAGCCGCTCTCCGCTAACAAATAGCATCTGGTTGATGGGGAAGAACCTTAACCAGCGCTCCAGATGCCGGGCATACATGCCTATCTGCAGTGCGCTCCAAGTAGAGTCAATAAGCCCCGCTGTAGTGTTCTTGAAGGTCAGACTCTCAAAGGAAGGGATGTCAGGCTTCTTCGAGCGCGTCTGAGTATAGTCCGAGATAGCCCGTGTGACCGGGTCCCGCACCACCACGATCAGTTTGGTGTCCTTTGACATAGCAAAGATGCGGCCAGGTACCTCCTTGGTCACGAAGTAGCTGGGCGTCTTCTCCATCGTGATTTGTCCCTCCAGAGACTTGGGCATCAACTCTCTGCAAGACAAAACAAGTGCGTTAGCAAAGAACGGCATTCATACTACCCAAGAATCAGTGTTTACATTTACTCAATCAGGGGAAGCTCTTTTGTGCAAACAGATACAAAGTATACTCTTGAAAATAAAGACACTCTTCAGAGAGATTAACTGGAGAACCACATTTCACCTTTCAATGAAGGGCTCTTTAAAGCCCCATTTTTGTGAATGAGAAGTGTGAGTGTGAAGAACCCTTTTAAAGTTTAAAGAACCTCCACATAATGTAAAAGTTCTCCCCCAAAATTATTTGGCCAGGCCAAGAAATATTTAGGAACTCTTACATTTGAGAGTGTACTCGGAGAATCGGTGAGGATCTTAGTCTCACAAAGCCATATGTGATCTCGTAACGAGAATGTCTGGGGACAACTATCTGAAACTTTGGGCTAAATGTGGGTGGAAGGTAGATTATTAGGGTGAAAACAAACTGAGTGTGATATTTTTAAACCAATCTAATGCCTCATGAAGGCAGAGCTCAAAGAAGGAGGATGATGGTGCACTGGCTGACACTGTCTGATGGACAACAAGCCTGTTGTTAGCCTGTGGATGTTAAAGTTTCCCCAAAATGTATTCCTCCAATTAAGCTTGTACATGTATATTATTGTGCAGTATGCAGTAAAAAGAAATATTCCCTCAGTTCAGTTAGCCTTAAACAGTGTTTTGCTAGCTTGTTTTGCTTGTGTTATCGACTGTATTCGGAACATTAAAAGAGCATGGACTAGAGAAATTTGGGGACGGGTTTTAGAGGGTCATGCCTTTGTTTGTGGTGGATTTCACTGCAATCCAGCACCAAAAGTTTAATAGGTTTCCTCAGATTTGTATTCTAGTTACAAGATCACATCATAGATCTATGTGAGACTGCAAGGATCTATGCTCTAAAAGACAAAATCCTTATCATAGCTTGATCTAGTTAAATAAATACAGGAGAGGATTTTCATGATGTTGCAACCTGCAGAGCAGAACTCTTCAAAAATTCAACTTTCTGAGGCTTCAGATGAAGATAAACATCTTTATTTCCAGGCATCCAGTCAATCTAAAAATTACCCACCTTTAATCAGCAAACAAAACATGAAAGAAATAATATATAAAATGAGAAAATGATAAATGGTTTTAAACTACAGTGTTTCCTTTCCTGCCCATCTCATTGCCTTATAATGCTTACTATCTGTTTTTATACTGTTTCTATCATAGTCTAGAAGCAACAGGAGGAAGTAGTTGAATTAACTGGTGAATATTACATTTCCTTAAAGGTCAACACAAATAAATCGACCAATACTATTGACCAAACCAAATAAGTATGTAAAAATCATACACTGTAAATAAATAACTTAAAAAAATGACTCCAACAAGGGCTGTCTCACTATAAAGATCCTCTTATATCTGTTGGCCTAACAAAAGCCCCAGCAAGCTGCACTCTGTCTCAGCGGGGGGAGCCAGTAGATTAGCTCTGTCCAGACACTCGGCCACTCAGGCTATCTTTTGGAAAGGTCAGTCTTTAAGATCTATAACTAACTGCCACCCAGCTAAATCAGAGGGTCCATAGAGTGCCAGTGCAGGCGCTCACACTGAACTGTGGGTTGATATTTAGCAGAAGCACAGAATTACAGCACGCAAAGTCATCTGCCTCATACGGAACCCAAAGTAGTGATGACGCCTCATCACTGGGGTTATATTTAGCCACCCAAGAAAAGACAGACGTCCCCTTACACTCCCTTTAATCCCTCTCACAGCACTCTTGTAATCCTCCTCAATGACATCACCTCTATGTCTCCACTCACAGAGGGAATATGAGCTCATTCAGTCTATGCAGTTACACTATCCACAACACAGTGTCCTGTTTAAATAAGAACCAAAGTTTTCTTAGGAGTTTAGTTTCATTAGAAACATCAGTGAGATTCAATGAGCTTCAAAGACCAATATTTACAACAGCAGCACCTGCTGTTCTTACATAAAGGCCTATTCTAGACGTGCGATGTTTGAGTGGAATGCAAATGTTTGCAAAAATTCTATAAGCATTTGCACTTGTGTCCATTTTTAAAACTTTAAACTTTTAAATGTTTCACATTTATCATTTAAAACTTCTTTGCACATGTCATTGAAAGATTTTTTTTAGGGAACCAATAGTGGTTCTTTTTATGGAATCACTCCAAATAACTCTTTTAAGCCAGCATTCTTTTTAGGGTTGCACAGTTTTTAGAATTATTTTATTCTAGAAGGTTTATCAAATGACAATGTTGTCAAACGGATAGTTCCAGTGCTAAAATCTGATTGGCTGAGCTGCATTCAAAGTTGTAAAATACAGAAAATACACACACTTATGACCACCTCACATCAACTGAACTCTGTATGGACCACCAAATGCACTGATAAAGTAAGAACCCATTTTTTTTTATTTAAACTGAAGGGCTTACAACTTATTTTCTTAACTAAAACTAGCCTCACCTAGTTAACAGGCTGAAAGACAGCTAACAGCCTAAACAACTCCATCATTAATATCACAGGCTTGAATTAAAGTATTTACGATATGAATCACTGTAAAAATGCAATATAAAAGACTGTCAAGAGAATGTCAATTGAATGGATTACATGCTTCAAATGTCTGTGTTTCAGTCAGAAGATGCATCTAACCCAGGCTGAATCCCAAACGTCTTATGTACTCCCTAAATAGTGTGCTAGCTATGGAGGTTTTGAAATTTTAGCTTCTATAGTGAAAGAGTACATTATTTTTCAAGTATGGATGCGGCTGAATACCAAATGACTATTTTTAATGACTTGCTTTTTAGCTATATTATGCACTGTTGGGATGCAGGAACCAGTATTTAAATTCATATGTAGTGCACTATGTAAGGAGCAGGGCGCATTTGAGATTCGGCCCCAGCATGAGAAGAAGGGCACTGTTGGATTAGTGCTCTATAAGACTCGCAGTGGTAATTTAGTGACCAAAATGTACTTATAAAACGAAGGTTTCTGCATTAAATGGTGCTATATTATGATATGCCCCTTACTATATGACAAAAAAGTTTATATAAAGACCGCAGTACACAGTGCCTGCCAACCGAGCTTTCTCCTCTGCGTTCAGTCCATGGATGCTAGTCAATGATACTACATTTCTTGGTTGAGTACTTGCTTATGTCAATTATTATTAATAATAAATTATTTTCTGAAAAAATATGTATTTTATCATATTTTTAGTTGGCTGCCATTTAAGCAAGCGTTAAGCCTCTCGTGGCTCATTAGTCTATTAGCTTAATACAAGGCTAAGAAACTTCTTTTAATGAACTCTGCATTTTTTTTCAAAATGTATGTATAGTTAAATCATAAAGATGTAAGCAGTCATTCAGAGTGGTCTGATGTGAATTGCCCCATTCAAAAGAAACTTACTGAGCCAAACTTTTTCACAGTGGTGGTGACAGGAACCAGATGTCTGAAGTGCCTTTAAAAGCTCCCACACAGAAAGATATTACACGAACTGGTTATAACTACACTGCCTGATGTCTGGGATATTATTTTGCAATTGATTTGAGATAAAGTTTTGACCTAATATATATATATTTAATAAATTCTTTGTGGAAAAGTACATGCAGGTCCATTTTTTTCCTAGAGACTTTTTTCTCCAGGTTTACCAGATATAAAAAACTCAAGACACATGTAGGTTCACTAGGTGTTTTGGATAGTGGATCTTTGTGTTGTGTTGTTTGTTTCTCTACAATGCTCTATTTCATGGCAAAGCACCCTGAATGACTGTTTACATCTCAATGACTGAATTATGCAGAAATTTACAAAAAAATTTTTTTAGGTCAGTATCATTGCAGATATACTGATATAGTGGATCAGTGCATCACCAATTTTAGCTTGCCAGCAACAATCCAGTGCTCAAAGTCATGTGAGCCTTTAAGACAGACAAAAATACAGGGAGGAGAACTTCATGAAAGGGAATCCTGCACATCTCGGACATGCGTAGCAAAGATTTCCCTGCTGGCTCAGTCAGCAGGGTCAGACTGGTCTATTTAATTGCCAAATTAGCCCTTTAACTTTAGCCTGTGGTAGAGAGAGGCTGAAGTAGGCCAAGTGGGATTTAGGCACAGCTAGATGCTTTCCAGCTTTAGAGAGATACACAAGGCTAATGTGGAGGCAGAGAGCGCTGGCAGACACACACTAACACACACACACACACACACAAGCGCACACACCTACACACAATCTCAGCTGCTCTAACCAGCAGCAGAATACACAGAGCATTACAGACACACCTTTGAATAGCACATAAATAGCAGCTGTTTTTAAGTAATACCAATTGATTTATACACTGTATCAAAATGCTGTTTAAACAAGATGTCAGTTAAGCTAAGCCAAGTCAGTCTAAAATCACCAAGTGGTTTATCGATGTTTACATTTTACCTTTGAGTTCTGACAGTGACGGATCGTTCTAAATAAAATTACCCCTGGAGTTCCGAGGGCAGGAGAAACAAAAGCCCCGAAACAGTCAGAGCAGTTACAAATGACATATTTATAGGCATTAGTTGGCAGAGCCGTTAGTAATCTCTATTGCAAAACAAACTTTAAGAGATTATATCTTAGCATTAAGTGGGAGGAAGGAGGGGGAGGGAAGGAGACAAGAAAAGAAGGGTGAGAAAGAACAGAAAGGAGAGGATAAACTTCATTGCACTATAAGGAGTCCAGGGAAGGCTGGTAAACACATCAGACTATGTCCTCTTTACTCGATTACTACAATAAGTAATATTTCTGTATTTTTTAACCTGATCTTTATCTGCCACATCTGTAGTGTATGAGTGATTACCTTGGACAATGAGCAAAAGTGAAGAAAAACCCCAGAAAACTCAATAACTCAATATTGATATGCCAATATATCGTGGATAGGCTTGTGGAGATACACGTATCCATATAGTGATGGCTGCATCTATATTTATACATTTCATTGGATCCAGCATGAGGTAAACATGTTGT